TTGGTGATCTCATTAACCGAGACAGCACCATCCTTGTCAGCATCCAGTTTGATTAGCAAATCCTCAACGACTTTGAATCGCTCCTCGTCAGAGGCCTCCTTCATGCGTCGGATTGTAGCCACCAGTTCGTCAATGTGCACCGATTGGCTGGGACTGGCACCAGATGTGGGCGCGCTGTCAGGGGTATCGACTTGCTTAATCTGTTGCTGGCGATGCTCCAAGTCTTGAAGCACAGTGTCCAGCTGCGAGATCATCTTGTTGACACGATTATAGAGTAGCTTGGCAGCTCGACTCTCGCGCACCGGTTCCTTAACCACCTGGCGCACCTCTCGCAATTCCTCCACATCCTCCTGATAGTCGCGCAACTCCTCCTTAAGCTCCTTGATCGTCTCCTTCTCCACAACAAGCTGTTTATCAGAGGAAAGCGTCTTCAGTGCATCTGATAGCAATTGCACATCCGTCGGCGAAATGGTCTTCTCATCTGATGCCTCGGATTTCTTATCCAAATGCAACTTCTGAGTAGTATCCTCAGTGAATATAAACGGCGCTGGAGTTTCATCCGTGCCGGCGGTGCGCAGCGTCTCTTCGTGCTCCTCCTCGCGCTCTTCACGAATCTTACGCTCCTCCTCCTTGATGATCTCAATCTTGGTCTTGTTATCGACCTTGCCCTCACGCTCGCCAATCGCATGGCGTGTGTGAGCGGCTACAGCATCCGGCAGTACACGCATTGTCTCCTTCAGCTTATCAGTCGTGATGCTGTCATCAGAGATGAGCATTGCACGTGACAATAGCAAAAGTATAGGTGGTACCTAGAAGCAACTCACGCATGGTTAATATAATAAGAAATACATGATGGCTATACTGATGCCCTTACCTGTTCATTTAGTGATAAGTCAATCCATTCCTTGAGTTGAAATCGCAGGCGCTCCGCTGTTAGGCCGTAGGCGCGCATGCCACGTGACTTGCACGCCTGCTGCAATTCGAAGAGATCGAGCGAGTCGACGCCTTCGCGCGCTATTACCCGATCATCGGTGGCCAGAGAGCGAAGCTTGAGACGCAGCTGAAAGCGCAGCAAGGTCGTTGTGCCAATCGTGTTCAGCTCCAGTACACGGCAGAGCGCTGATAGCTGCTCTCGACTGAGCGAATCCAATGTGATTTCGTCATCGAAACGCTTGGCAAACTTGATTATCTCATCGTTGCTCACTTGCTCTGTGGGATTCCGGATCTTTCGGAAGAATGTCTCGAACTGTTTGGCTTCCTCGCTGCTGTGCTCCTTGTGCTGGACAGGCATTTGACCGAGAGTTTTTTGCAAGAATTTAGCTACCTCCAGACGGACGGTCAGTGACTGCCTTAGTCGCTCCTGGCGATCCTTGGCCGTTTGAAATGTGGACGGCAGCATGCCCGGAAAGAATTTTATAAATACCGGCAAGAGCAGCTCCATAAACGGCACCACAATAAACACCGAGAATGGAATCAATCGGAACAGATCCGATGTTGTGCGCTGCAGCTGCTTGTTTTCGCGTCGCGTCAGCGTCTTGCCATTGAGTACCTTCCACACCAGCTTCGAGCTAATGGCGGTATCAATGAATAATAACCGAAAGCCATGATAATAGTGTACCAGTTCATCCCAAATACGCTGTGTGAGCGGCTTCTTTGGCTTGGCCACTGCCTTGGATGGGGCCTCTGTTAGTTCGCTAGCCGTCTTTGTGCCAGAGGCGCTAGCCTTAGCTGTTGCGCTCGGGTCTACAGCGGTGCCGTCGAGTATCGTGGAGGTCACCGGGGTAGCCGAACCAGTTCCCTTAATCGCCTGTCCATTGGCCACCTCCTTCATGATCTCCTCGACCTTCTCCTTCTGCTGATTCTTCAGCTTCTTCACAGTGGCATCGATCTTTGAACTCGACTCAAACAGCGGCCTACCGATATGAATATGCCGCAGGCCATAGCTACAGAACTGATCTGATTGGTAATAACGCGGGCCGGTTTTCAGTGAGTAGCCAGCAAACGTTCTCCTTTGCCGGACGTTCCATGACTGTGAAGAAACTGAGTCTTCCGCTTTGTGCTGGACTTTTCTCGTTGTACAATAGGCATTGTGGCTCGTTCTGAGATCTATAAGTATTGAGAGAAGTTGGCCAAGTTTTAGTACAGCAAATTCTTGCCTATAAATACATTATATAAATAAGAGAATTTTAGTAAAGCAACCGATAGTCGTATTTATACACACATCATTTGCTCAGTCAAGGTAATAGCGAGAGAAATAATTTCAAATAGATGCTCAATTGAATAGGCAACAAATAAAAACAGATTGGGTTAAACCTTTTTATGGCTTCGGCCATTAAAACTTGTCAAGCGTTAATCGAAAAGTTAGTTCCACTTGATTATAAGCCCAGATAAGCTCACAAGTCAAACAGAACAAAAGAGAGACACAGAGAGCAAGGGAGAGCGAAAATAAAATCAACTAAATTAACACCTGTTGCGGTCGAATATACGCAAAAAAAAAAAAAACAAAAACAAAAGACGACTTATATAAGGTGAAAACTAAACTTAACGAAAGTACCATAAGATTTCTTAGAAAAAAAACAATCTGATGCACTTTCAATTTTGTATTTCTGATTTTCCTTACAATTTATACTTTTGGCAAGTTCTCAGAACAATACATCAGATGCGAATTCAAGGAAAAATAAACATGCTGCGTGTGTGTAGAAGAAAGAGAAGAAAGACGATAGAGCACAAAAGCGAAATGCATTCAACCTTCGGCCAATGGCCGAGCAAATTGTGTGGGTGCATCTGACCCATGTACATGTGTATGTGTGTGTGTGTGAGTTAACTGTACTCTCTTTCAACTACATACAGGGTGTCGCATTTGTGCGTCAGCAGCAATCGCTGGCGTCATTTTGTCTGTCTGTACACCTGAGCGCTTGGCACTTGTCCCTTTTGCTTGTTAAACACACACACGCACACACACATACTTGTGTATATTGTGAATGTTGTGTATAAATTGAGAGATGAGCAAATAGCGTACGTGAAATTCTTTTGCAAACAATGAAAAATGATCGTTTATTTAGTATAGGTAAATCTTGCATAAATATTCCACTCACTAAAAACAAAAGTACTTTGCCTTAATTCTTCTTTAAACCTTATCTGCCTATACTTATATTAGCCAGCCGGTTTAGATGTTTACTTTTTTGGTCAATCTCGCTTTTTCAGCAGACGATAAGCGCGTCAAGTGACGCGTCTCAGTGGAAAAAGAATAATAATAAATGCTGAATTATATAAAACACGATAACGATACGTATAAAAAACAGCCGATGACCCATACACCGGCAACTATATCAAAATATATTATATATGCACTGCAGATACATACATATATATTGCACACCCTTGTCATTAACTAACTTGTTGACAAAGGCAATTAACTGCCTGTAAGTGCGAAAGTGTTTCAAATCTTACATATATAGGTTATCCAGAAAATTGCCCTACAGCTTGTATACAAAAATACCAAAACAAGCGCAACAGGGAAATTTTATTGTGCACGCAAACATGGAATCAGCTGTGCACGAATATGCAGTCATAACAAAAACAACGACAAAAGGCGAGCGCACAAAAAACACGCACACATACACAGGCTGCGATACCTAAACTCAAGCACACACACACACACATACAAGCTCACACTCGTACCGCAAATATATGGGGTAAAATCAATGGAAAGTTTTATACGATTTTCATTCCATCGCGTGGTTAGCAGACAAACTTACAGCGCTTATAGAAGTTATGCATCGCATAATGCGACTTTAGTTGCGTGGATCCTTTGGGCAGCAGTAGCACATTCATGTTGTTGGCCTAATGTTGTTATTGCTGGGTGGGGAGCGCTGTTTGGGGCTATCGGCTGCCAGTCCAATTCCAAAGTTTCTTCAATGTATGTATGTAATTTTGAATTTCCGAATCACTGTCTACTCTGTGTGTATCTTTGTATTTGTTAATGTTGTTTAGTTGCGCATGAGAAATACGTTGGTTTCTCACTTTACGCCTAAAAGTATAAGGAAAAGAGTACAATAAGATTTATAAATAATCATGCCGAAAATTAAATGCACGCTATATTAATGTCAAACATAAAATAAATAAATGTAACTGTCAACGCTCACTCGCTCTTTATTTTTTTATTCGAACAGCGCAATTCAAATTTCTCTCACACATACGCGATATACGCACACACACCCATTCTCACACATATTCACGCAGATTTGCGATATCAGGCGATGTTTCATAGTGTTTGTTGCTGTCTTCTGCCATTCGCACGATTCTAAATATTACACAACTACAGCAACAAAGTATAAGTTATTATTCTGTGCCAATTTCACATTGCCGACACCCTGTTTGATCACAATGTTCGGCAATTACCATTTAACTCCAATTCACGCTTTTTGTCGAGACTTTCCACTTGCCCTATATTTTAGTTTTTTTTTTTTTATATTTTGTTTTTGTAATGTCGTCGCTCGTATTCTTATGAATATGTTTATAATTCGCAGGCGGTTCGGTTAGTCTTACTTCCACGCTTTTTTATTTTACTTTGCTTTGGTTGCACAAGTGTGACCACATTTACGCAGTGCAGCAATACCAACGTTGCTGTATTTTTTTTATTGGTTGCGCAAATCTCATTCTTGCGATAGCATCATTGTTGATTTATCGAAAAGTAATCGTATGATAGGGCGGACTTTTTAAATAATGGAAACAGACAGTAGAAGAACAGGTGCTATTTACTAATTGTAAATAGATATCATATTCTTCTTCTTTTACTTCTGCATATTGACAATTTTTTTTTACTTTCTGTTACTGATTGATTCCTTACTTAAAATTTGAATGACTGTTATAGAAACATTCCCCGACCGTTAGGAGTGTTTGTTTACCTATTGCAAATTTGAAGTAAAAACTCACCGCATTCATTAATTGCTGTGATAAAAATCTGCAATTAGATTTAATTAGGCTGCCCGCTGTAGTAATTTCTGTACGGATTTCTAATAAAAGGACTGATTGGGGGCGATTTTAACCAGTTGAACTCTACGTTAACGTGCGCAAAGGTTATTAAAATGGGGAATAAAGTTTTAATTTATTTGGCTATTTTCGCCTGCTTAGCCAGGGCTCAAATGCAACTGCCCAGCAAAGTATTCGACCAATTAATAGCCGAGGTTGCCTTCGAGACTGTTCTTTTATTGAGTGAAAATTCCACGGATTGTTCGATTGACGTGAAATATAATGCTGTTACGCCGGTTATTTATCTTAATGCCAATCAAAAATATCAACTTCAAACTCATTTTAATAGACAATTTCTATCGTTGGTTTGCTTAAAAACTGAAAGCGATTTAATCTTGAATGCGCTCTATCAAAATCTGGAATCCATGCGATATACTCGGACCATATTTATGATTACAAATGAAGTGGATATGGAATCTTTGTTTAGGAAGTGCTTCGAGAACAAGATGCTTAATGTACTGGCGATAGGCAATTGGAGCCTGGAAGAAATATATAGTTACAGAGCATTTCCTGAATTTAAACTAGTTATGCGAAAGGTTGATCAGATCGAACGATACTTCGAGCCTCAACTGAAGGATATGGGTGGCTATCCCATTAGCACTGTATCGGACAACATATTCCCACGCAGCGTTATATACAAGGATGGAAATGGATCCTATCAACTAACCGGCTATCTGGCGCCGTTTGTTGAAAGCTTTGTCAAGACTTTGAATGCAACTCTTCATGTTTATTGGGATCATGCGCCTGAAGAGAATGAAATAGTAAACATAAATTTGCTGAACGACCTGATTCGCGCTGGAAAAGTGGACATACCGATGTTCATAACGAATCTTGGCTTTACGCCAAGCCATCGAAATCACTCCCATATAGTAGAACTGTCAAAGTGGCAGATAATGCTGCCCGTCGAGTCCCAGATAAGTCGCGCCCTGCTCGTCGTTGGCGGCGGGACAAAGCTCCTCAATTTGTGCATCTTCATTCTGATGTCCATTTACGCCCTGATCATTCACAATATTCGCCGTTTCGAGCTGGGCATGGCGCCCAGCCTTATGTGCTTGTGGGTCATCTTTGATCCCGTGCTGAGGGCCATGCTCTCCCAAACGTTTTCGATGCCGCGATCCTCCAGCCTGCGTCTCAGGTGGACACTGGCCGTGCTACTGCTGGGCAGCTTTGTATTCTACAACATTTACATAACAAATCTGGAGACGCTCCTGGTGCATCCACCCTTCGATCCGCCGATACTCAGCTATCAGGATATGCGTCGAGCGGGACTCAAGCTCATGATATCAGAGCCTGACAAGGGAGCACTTACCTTTGTTCTCGGCCAACGTGGATATAACGCCAACTCGGATCTATACGAGATGGTAAGCACATCGGTGTATCAGACGAGCCGCAGCCAGCCGAACACTTCCTATGCCTATCCCATTACCCAAACGCTCTGGCCCCACATCAAAATGAAGTTCATCCGGCAGGAGCAGGCCGCCTTTCGCCTCTCCAAGGAACTGGTTTTAATTCCGCTTGTGCACTTTGCTTTGCGCTTGCCCTCCAACTCCATCTATAAAGGGGCCATCAATCGATATATTCTAAACACCCAAAACAGCGGCCTGTACACCTACTGGCGCACCCAGTCCTTCTACGATCTGCTTGCGATTGGCAAGACCAAGCAACTGCCCTACAAGGATACCTCGAGCAGCATGCATTTGCGCTGGGAGGACCTCTACTATTATTGGCTGATCTATATTGTCAGTGTCAATATTTGTGTGCTGGCATTTGTGGGCGAGGTTCTAGTATACTCTATAGGACGTTGGAGAGCGGGTTGAGTTGGGATGGCCTAGAGGAAAAATTACCACAGAGAAGGCATAGTGAAGGAGTGAATAAAAATTATGAGAAACTAAGATCTTTGCTAGAAGAAAAGCTAATGTCAATGTATTTACTACAATTATATATCCAAACAATAAAGATGCAAGATGATTATCTAAGAGATTAACAAGTTCTGTAACTATAACACATGATTACTAGATTTGCATTCATATCACAATCAATTTCATATCTCGAATCTGCTCGACGCATAAACCATATTTCGGAGCTAGATTTAATGGGTGTATAGCCCCTAATGCTAAGACGCGCATCCGCTGCTCTTGCAGTTCCATAATTCTTTGTTGTCTACTGATATGATTATTGTTTTGCAGTTTCATCAATGTGCGCCGCGTAGGTGCATATTTTTAGACTTAGCTAGTCCCGATGGCAACGGCAACGGCAACGGCGCATTGATAAGCAACAAAGCATCAGCCTGGCCCGACCGCTGGCTGACCCTCAGGTGATGTCGTAAAAGAAAAGCAAATGAAAAGAAAAGCGAGTCAGCCCGGCGATGTAATCGGGCAGGTGGGTTACCAGGCGCTGTAATTAGCTGGCATTACTTACACAACTGATCAGTCGAGCCTCCCAGACTGAGCTCGCCCGAGATCGCTGTCGAGCAGTCAATCAGTGCAGTACCAGGTGCAATTGGGGCTTATCTCAATGCACGGTGCAGCATATAGCAATGAGGTTGAACGGATCTCTGATAATGTCAAGGCAATATCAGCACTCGGACGTTGGCCCCCCCATCCGACTGAGAGCCGCCGCTCAGGTATAAATGGAGGCTGCAGTGGCAGTGCATTGGTATGATTACGATGAAGTCGATCACGGCGGTTATTGTTTTGACGCTAACGCTCTTGGCTCTCGGCGGCCAGGGCAAGCATGTGGAGTCCAAGGTGGCCGACAAGGATTTCCTGATGAAGCAGAAGTTCGTCTTTGAGATGCTGGAGCATATCTATCAGGACGATGTCTTCGTCAGGCGGTACGATAGCAGCTTCTACGAATACAAGCCCTGGGAGCATGTCAGCGACTATCACCATCCCGAGAAGATGCAGCATTTCTTCGAGCTCTGGCAGCACCATCCGTTCGGCGACGACCAGATGTGGACCGTTATGTACGATCTGCATGAGGAGTATGCCGTTGGTCTGGTGCGTCTCTTCTACTACGCCAAGAACTGGGAGACCTTCCAGCACGTCGTCTTCTGGGCCCGCCAGCATGTGAACAAGCAGCTCTTCGTCTATGCCTTCACCATCGCCAGCCTGTTCCGCGACGATATGCAAGGCATTGTCTTCCCGGCCCATTACGAGATCCACCCCTGGAGCTTCTTTGACAGCGAGACCCTGGAAATGGCCGAGCACTACAAGATGCACGGCTTCCATCACGTCAAGCAGCTGAACAACGTCTACAACGTGGTGCTCAAGTCCAACTACACGAACGTCTATGGCAACATGAACGATGAGCACAGTCTGGCCTACTTCCTGGAGGACATTGGCTTCAACAGCTTCTACTACTACTTCAACTTGGACTACCCCTACTGGACGAAGGGCGACGATGTGCATGTCCTCAACAAGGACCGTCGGGGCGAACTCTACCTCTATGTGCACTGGCAGCTGTTGGCCCGCTACTACCTGGAGCGTCTGTCCAACGACATGGGCGAGGTGCCCACCTTCAACATGTACGAGCCCGTCCACTCCGGCTTCTACAGCGGCCTGCGTGACTATAACGGCGTTCCATATCCCAGCCGTCCCAACGACTACAACTTCTACACGCCCGACAATCTGGAGTATGTGAAGAATGTGGAGCTGTACACTCAGCGCATCATGGACTGGATTCACAAGAACGACAAATACGACGTCGAGATTGTCAACATGCTCGGCAACATTCTGCAGGGCAACGCTGACAGCATCGACAAGCAGTTCTACGGCAGCCTGGACAAGTGGTTCCGCTACATCGTGAACGAGGGACATCCGTACAACCAGTACCACGAGACCTACCCCGGCACCTTCATGCACTACGACACATCCATGCGCGACCCTCTCTTCTACGAGGTGTACAAGAACCTGCTCAGCCACTACTGGCATCTGATGGATACCTTCCCCGAGTACACCAAGGTCGACTATGGCTTCGAGGGTGTCAAGATCGATGATGTGCACATGCCCGAGAGCCTGACCACCTACTTCGAGTACTTCGATGCCGACATTAGCAATGCCGTGAACGTTGAGCACTCCGCCATACCCATGGGCGATGCCCACCACAACGTTTTCCGCAGCTCCTACTACAATGGCAGCAGCTTTGTGATCAAGGCCCGCCAGCACCGTCTCAACCACAAGCCCTTCGAGTTCACCCTGGATGTCAGCTCGGACAAGGCCCAGGCTGCCGTTGTCAAGGTATTTATTGGACCCAAGTACGACGAGTACGGCAATGTCATCCCATTGGAGCACAACTATCAGAACTTCTTCGAGCTGGAGCACTTCAAGGTGCAACTGGATGCGGGCGTCAACCACATCAAGCGTGCCAGCGGCGACTTCAGTTTCTGGGTGAACGATCGCACCACCTACTTCGAGCTCTACCAGAAGCTGATGGGTGCCACCAACAGTGACTACAAATTCAAGCTGGATCAAGCCGAGTCCCACTGCGGCGTACCCAATCGCATGATGTTGCCCAAGGGCAAGAAGGGCGGCCAGGTCTATCAGTTCTTCTACATGGTCTATCCCTACCATGAGCCCGCTGTGGCCCAATACACCGGCTACGACCCCATTGTCAGCTGCGGCATTGGCCATGGCTCTCGCTATGTGGACGCTCTGCCCTTCGGCTTCCCCTTCAACCGGCCCATCAAGCACGACTACTACTTCATGGTGGACAACTTCAAGTTCTTCGACGTGAAGATCTTCCATCGTGACGAGCACACCAATGTGGCCTAAGGCACAACGAACTCAGACTCTGATTTAACACTAAACTCCAATTGAAACTCCCAGCTCTTGCTTCACTCACACTAGCCACCATAGATCATGTTCAATCCGACTTAATAATTATCTTATCTTACTTACCGACAATCAATAAGCAATAAACGAACTTAAGCGAATACAACGTGATGGGTTTTAATGGGAATTAAAGGTTCCCCCATGGGAGCTACCAAACCACAGCATTTGCTGCACTTTCTTTACGAGAATCTCCAGAGCCAACACGACTGTCGCGAGCAGCAAGAGTGCTCCGTAGGCCACCCAAATCCATTGCAGATCCTCCAAGCGCAACGCCTCCTTGAGACGCGGCGGCTCCCGCTGAATGGGATCACTGAAGGAGAGCAAACCCGCGGCGGCCATATCATAGAAGTGCATATCGACCCAGTGCTGGAAGATGCCAAAGTCGCGCACATCCATAATCAGCCGGGTCAGCGGCTCCAGAAACCAGGTGTTTGGGGGCAACTGGAAGACCATGTAGGTGAGTGTCCTGACGCAGGCGTTCAGGGAGTAGAGGAAAACCTCGCGGGGAAAATACTTTTGCTGCTCGCTCAGCAGCGTCCACTTGAGCCGCGAGGCAAAGTAGACGTGGCTCATGTTCATCTTGTCCCTGTGGCTGTTGTAGTCGCTGCTATTCATGGCCAGCACACGCAGCTTCGTGGCGCCCAGGCCGTAGTCCCCCTCCGCGCTGCCCGCATCGATGACCAGCGGCAGCTGAGCGCGTTGGATATCAGCAAAGCTGCGGGGCTGAAAGTATTTGGGTGGATGAGTGAGCACCGTGCCGAGCGCTGCCTCGTGTATCGAGCTCAGGTTGAGTCCCAGCACAGCCAGCATCAGGTAGATCCAGCTGGCATAGGGACTGCTGCGCGGGGAACGGCCAAAGGACTGGCCGAGCAGGCCACGCAGCGCCACATCGTTCAGCAGGAAGTCGACCAAGCTGGCAGCTTGGCCAGTCAGCCACCAGTGCAGGCTGAGCAGAAGCCCAAAGCTGTAGACAATGGCCAGTCCGATGAGTAGGTGCTGGCCATTGGCCAGGATGAGGTAGATGTCCTTGATGGGCAGCTGCTGTGCCCGCGGAATCATCAAGCAGATGTGGCTCAGCTCGAAGGGGAAGCTGCTGAGGGGCAGCTGCTCGGGCCGTATGAGCTGCACCACCGTTGCCGCCACATCCACTTGGAACTGCTCGATCAGCGACTCCAGCTCATTGAAATGCATAACCACGCCCGGCTTGATCTCTATGGGGAACTGAATGGTGGCATTCAGCTTCCAGGCCAAGGTGCGCACAAAGCGACCCACTGACCCGGCCAGCACCTGCTGGCCCGTGCGCCAGTCCGTGTAGACGATGGTGCGCGGATGCTTCTGGTCGGGCACCACGATCAGCGGCTGGCCATGCATGTTCCTCAGGGGACTGGCAAAGAAGGGGCGCTGCTCCAGCGAGCGCTGCTCCAGCTCAAAGCGCGGATACGGACGATAGCGATAGTAGACTCGATCTGCACTCTCGGCCAGCAGGGCAACCACATTCAGTATTTTCTGCCTATAGCATTCCCTGAGCAGCGACTTGAGCACCCGCTTGGCAGAGCTGTTGCCTGTTGGAGCAGAGGCAGCTATATAAAAGATGCTCTTTGGTCCACGTAGATTTCCTAGTAATGCCGGCAGTGGCTCATAATCCTCGCTGGGCAAACAGATTAGCTGCATCGGCCTCGAGAATTCTTTGCTAGGAGGCGTGGCATCGTGCATCGATTGCAGCACGATAGGCACCTGAGGCGCCACAAGCAGCTCCTGCAGCCAGCTCTCTGGGCAGTAGTCGTAGCGTATGAGCAGCAATGAAGACCTCGACTCCAAGAGTAGCTGCCGGATGAGCTCTTCAGCTGCGCAGCCCGATGTTATGCATACGAGTAATGCTATATACGAGTGTATCCTGGACATGTCTGAGACTGATATGTTAGCTAGCCGATGACTTATTGGCATATTTATAGTCTCCATGAAGTCTCATTTGCTGAGTCATTGGCCAAGGCGAGTTACCTGCCGAAATAGTTACGCCTTCGGAATTCACGTAGAGCTAGACTGGAGGAGCATTCGTTGTTCATATTGTATCGGTCGTAAATGGTAGGCTTGCATTTTCTTATAAATAATGACTAGAGGAAATCTTATTGCTGATAT